TCACTTAACCTGAGATGCCATTGAGAGATTGGCAGTTTTAGTTTTATGAGTGTCAGACATGTTAACAGTAAGGTTTTTATCATTATTTTAGAACTTTGTACAGGGAAGGTGTGGAGTTTTGTTTTTTAAACAAAATAAAATGTCCCCAAAATAACAACAATAACTAAATAAAAATCCTGAAAATAGAAGATAATGTTTGGACATGACTCCTTACAGTAGAAACATTATCAAACTCACATCACCATCAACAAACAAAATTCTTTGAGTTAAAGTTTTAAACCAATAATACAGATTGACTAAAACCTTTAACGTGAAATTTTATTTCTACATAAAATGCAGTTTGCTTAAAAAAACACCACCTTAAATACTTTTTCAACAGGACTTTAATTTATTTAAACAAATGTTTTTGACTTCTTTTCATAAGTCTGCATCAGGTTTAACAAGAAAATCTGAAATTTAACTTTTTAACTGACATCTAACATTTTTTGAAACATAAATTGATATTTAAACTTGATATTAAACATAACATATTAAACATTAAACTGTTATGTTTAATATCAAGTTACATATTACACATTATGATATATATATGAATGAGATAAATTCCAACAAAGATAGTTTAAAACTAAAATTAAACCAACTTAGTACAACAGAAGTGCATTTTTTAGACACTGGCATTTCATTCAAAAACAGTTTCTTAATTTAAGCACAAAGGTATATATCAAGCCCACCCACGACCATTATACATTCCTTCCTCCTCCAATGATTTAGACATGTGAAGGTATACCTCAAATTACGTCATTTAGAGTTACGCCGTTCCCGATTATAGTCATTTGTCAAAAAAGTATATGGAAAAATAAAAATCAAGTTTAAGTCATTTTATTCAACTTTACGTCTGTCCACCACAAATATTGAAGTCGTAATATTACTAGAAAAGCGTTTAAAGCACATAAAATCATATTAAAATACTGTATATACATTTACAAGTATGTAATGTATTTACATTACATGCATTTGTAAATTTAGATTGCTTTTTTCTGTACTATATTAAAAACTAAAATTGATTTATTTGTAAGCTTAAAATAGATCCTTATTAACCATATATTATTAAAAATGCATTAATAAATAAAATACAGAACCGGGAATGATAATTTATGGTTTAGCCTAGTGACAAGTAGATTCGGAGACAAGTAAATTCGACTTACGCGTCGCCTCTCCTGGAACCAATTACCGACATAAGATGAGGTATACCTTTATAAGCTTTTGGCATTTAGAGCTCTTATTAGAAGATTAATACTCCATTATTGCTCCAACGTGTACAACAGGTTGCAAGAATTGAATAGGATCAGAATCATTGCTAGAACCTTGGGATTTGGAGCAAAAGTTATTGAGGAGTTAAATAAGCTCATACTCAGATCCTAATAAAAAGAAGACAAAGCAGAATATGAACAAAGAAGTTACTAGGTTCACTTACAACAGAGGAATGTCCAATATCACGAAGAAATTGCAGACTACAAGAATACAAGATAACTATACAAAAGGGCTCCCATGGTTTATAATTTGTTTAGAATGACAAAGATACGATCTAAAAGGAAGAACAATCTGGGTATACAAGATACCATATAAAAATGATCAATTAGGCCTGAACAAATAATAATAATAAAGGAGGAGGAGGGGCTGTCTGCTTTTGCAAACTTAGCCCACTAGGAAGAGAAAGGAGTGAAGAAAAGGTTCTGAAGGGAGAAGTATAAAGGAAAAGAGGGAAAAGTAATGCTGAAAAAAGTTATTAGGACCTCAGAACGCTGCATTGGAAATTATTAATAACCAAAATTACAAAAGTTGACAAGACCGTTATACAATATTAACAATTACAAGAAATGGTCCGGTTACAGTAAAAGGCAAAACCCATTACATATGGGTAGGTATAAACTAACCTTGAACACTGCAATTTTACAATAATATTAAGAACTGGTTACAATTTTAACATGCAGAGAGAATGTAAATATCAGCTTACTATGATATAATAATACAGATTACGTGGTACGTGAAGACTCGATACATATAAATGGGAATACTTTTTTTTTTTCATCTAGAATCTAAAACTAAACTAATACTAGACAACTAAACTATGTACACAAGATTTCTACATGGCTGATCAATTAATCACTGATAATGTCACTTTTCCATTTTTTCACTGTCTTTCTGCTCATCTTGTCTGCTCTTGTTTTCATTCTCAAGAATTTTTTTCTTTCCTGTAGAAGTCTAGCAGAAGAGCCCTGGAGCTTTCAATAAACCTTTCAAAACACTTCCAGAGATTTTTCTTATCAAAAAAGTTTTGTAGTGTCGGTGGCCAATTATGAACTTCTTGAAGGCATTCCCTATAGAATGGAATGTGTTGATCCTCATATCGTTCACAGTGGAATATAAAATGTATAGCATCTCCTAAACTATTATTGTTGCACCTGCATTTATTAGTGTTTCTCTTCTTAAAGCGGTAGAGGTAGGCCATAAAATTGCCATGCCTCGTTAAACATTGGGTGGTTTCAGATCTAGGTTTGTAGTAATTAGCCTTGATGCCATTAGTAATAGAGGGAAACTGGTGGCAAAGTCTCCCCATTGTAGAATTATTCCAATTTTCCTGCCATTCAATTAGTGCCCATTCGTTTAAGGAATTTTTCAGTGTTGATTTTGGTAACCTTGTATATGTATCCTGCATCTTGAGAGTACCAGCCATTTTGGCCAAAGAATCGGCCAGTTCGTTTCCTTTATGTCCTTTATGAGCTGGTATCCAACTGAATTGAATATTGCAGGTAGTACTGAGATACTGTGCTACTTTAATAACTTCTTTGCCCAGTAGCATGATGTTTTCAGTTTTTGCCAAGACATGAAGAACCACCTTACTGTCAATAAGGAATTTTATGTTACCTTTGTATTTATTTAAGTTATCTTTTATTTGGGTGATTGCTTTGTACGTGGCCCATAGTTCAGCTTGCATAATGCTACAATGTTTAGCAAGTTTTAATCTGGCCTGATATATTGTCTTATTGTTGTTTTGAATGCACACACCAGCTCCCACTCTGCACTCTTGCTTAGAACCATCTGTGTACACTATCCACTGAAAGTATCTGTATGTTTCGGGATTATAATCGAAAGTTATTTTGTAGCTGTGCATGTCTGCTGGGTGTAGTTCGAGGCATATATCATTACTAGTTCTATGAATTTCATATTTTTTAATAATATCAGGTCTGAACAAAGAATATATAGGTGTCACCTCCAGGAATTTCAGCAAAAGGCTTAAAGAGCATATATACAATGTAAACAAAGGGCATTATACTACGGCACTATCCAGAGTAGCACAAACAGAGGGTTCGGTTGTTGAATGGAATGAGGCTAGGATTGTTAGACCGGTGTACTCACCATCTTTAGCAATGACTGAAGAAAAGTTTGAAATACATATAGATCCAATCTTACTGGCAAATGTTTAAACCACAAAGATGCCACAGGATTACCATCGGCAAGGAAATATATTATCAAAAATAACACAGTAAAATATAATACGTAACACGCACTCTGTCGATATAATTATGTATATTGTGTTGGTATATTTGTATTTTATTTTATTCCATGTATTATAATTAGTTCAATTTGACATATTTATACTACAGTATTTGTTATATTTTTGATATATTTGATATTTCAACAAGATGTACAAAACAGTTATAAAAAATTTGAATTTCTTTTCACATAATCGTTCAAACCTGGATACTGTGCTACTTTAATAACTTTCAACACAAAAAATGTTCCAGAGAGTTCAAAATACCTGATGATGGCCTGTAGATCAGGTTGAAAACGTTTGTAAAACAATAAATATTGGTTCTCAGAGGCATAAGGTGTGTGTGTTTAAAGAATCTAAATATATATTGAAATGTATTTTTATGTTTAGATAATATATTGTCTCTGGAATTTTCTGTTCTAAATTTTAAAGTGATTGCAGCAATGCCATGATTATTAGTATATATCTCAAAAATTCTTCAATTTTTCTCTCATTTAATAAATATTTAGTCTATTCTATCTGTGTGTGTGTGTGTGTATTTTTTTGTTCATTTCAATATATATATATTGAAATGAACAAAAAGAAATACCAATATCACATTGGTATTTTCATTCAACGGAGTTGTCATCCTGGAGTAAACTTTAGAATTGCTAAAAAGGCAATAGAGTTGAGTTGTTACACATTTATAGCTTAGTTCAAGTTTATTGTGTATGCAGATATGAGCCTGTAAATGGTGTGATATGCATATGTGTGTGGTGGCAATGTCTCAAATTCTGTTTAGTTCCTACATTCTGTGTATGAAATCCATGTAATGTGTATGTGCCCTTGCAATCAGGGCCTTAAAGTTTACCATTTTTTGAGCATCTAGGAATATACTGAGGGTGGGATGCCAGTTTCACATAGACATCTTTGTATATTTCACCTCTTAAGCATTAAGTCTACATCAAGAAAGTGTGCCCTGTTGTCATATCTAATATAGTTTTATTTGTTTTATTTTTAATCCATTGTGGTTTTCATTCCCCATGCTAAATAGCAATTCACTGAAAGCTATAGAATAATATTACATATATGGTATTCCTCATATGTAACTATTTATAGTCAGAAACTGCTTTGAAAAATGTTCTAAGAACTATCACAGTTAGAATGTAAGTTATCTTACTTCAAATAATTATACATAAGTTTAATTTATATAATTGTTAGTACAAAAATTTTAAAATTATGTGATGTAATATAGTGTTTATATTATATTTTATGTTAAAGAATCTTCTAAAGCTAATTGGTAATTATATTTTTCTAAAAATTCTGAAGAGAACTCTTTCTAAACACTCTCATATAAATCAGATATTTATATCTAAAAATATTTAACCAATAAATTGTTTTCCATAACTTTTCATTTTTATATTTTCAAATTTCTGTATATACATATATATTATTTTAATCTCTTCAGACAAATGGAGATGATGATTGGGAGTATGAAGAAATTACACTTGAAAGGGTATGTATATTAAATTTTTTTTATTTTAAATAATTATTAATGTTAATTTTATTATGATTATATGTAATTTGTCTTGTTATAAGTAATTTTATACAGTTAGTCTTATATTGTCAGTTTGTTGAATATTTTCAAGGATCTTCAGATGATCATCAACTTACAAAATTAACCCATACAGGCCTAAAAATTTATTAAACATACTTTATTACTAAGTTTTATAAAATATGTTTAAAACAAATAAAAAAGACTTGACAATGGTTTATAATAAAATTGTTTATTATTTTATATGATTTACAAGGCATCCTATATATCAGTGGTTCTCAACCTGTTTTGTTGATGTACCCTATTAGCCCATTAGTTGTTTCTCAAGTACCCTTTATATTTTTGTATGTAAATTTTATAATTACTGCGTTAGATGTAACTATACTTAGTAACTAACTAACTATAACTAAAAGTGAATTACTTATTTTATGTAAATAATAATAAATTTAATCAGGTACATACATTTATTTATTATTATTTGATAAGTATATTATATAAAATCACAGAAGTCATTTCATTACATGCATAAATTACATTTCCTAAAAATAAATAATTATAACTAACAATAAAGAAAATTTAAATTATTCTACAATAATTTCTAACAAAATTTAATGAGATATTTGTTGGGATAAATCTTCTGCAATTTTTTCAAAATGTGGTTCCCACATTGTTAAATAGAGATTATAATTATGTACTGACCTTGAAAGTAATGGCTGTGAATTTATAACGTGGGAATTTATAAACAATAAATGAGTCTTTCAATTTTTGTAACAAACATAACATCTAAACTTGCTAAATATCAAGTAATGCGTGCATGCAGTGACACGCATTGCATGGTGAGGGTATGATCCAGGCCTCCTTATTCCTAATACCAGTAGTCCAGTAAAAACACGAAAAGCCCCAATGTTATCAAGTAATAATTATAGAATAGAAAAAAAATTTTTCTATTCTAAAATTAATGCTCGGTTAAACCGTAATTTTACTAGACTATAGGTTCACTCGGCACTAACAGCACGAATAGACAGACAAATCAAGTGGATAAACAAGTTGTTTAGACTGTTAAAAGGGAAATCGATGTTCACACTGGGATATTTTAAAGCAACTTTTTGTCGTTTCTTGTTTCTTGTGTTAATAATTTACATCAAAATTGATTAACATACGCCATTTTATAATGAAAGTTAGATGTACCCTTTCGATTTATGCTCCTACCCGTAGGGATACATGTATCCCAAGTTGAGAACCACTGCTATATACAGAACATTAAGCATATGGCATGCTATTATGTTAGCTATATCCAATCTCTTACTTATAAATTATATTGTGTGGAATTTTACAGAACACTTTATATGCAGACCAACATTGCATTTGTTGCATCTTGTATTTTTTGCATGACAATAATAATTACATCTTGTTTTCTTCTCTTGAGGCATTACCAAATGATCTAAATAGTTGTACCTCAACTCTAATTTCTGTTGTGTGTGACCTTTTTGACATGTTACAAATTATTTATTTTGTTGTAAAATAGTTGTGGCAATGCATCTTCTAAATGCCACTTGATACATAGTACATTTCTGTTTTGATGTATTTGCCAATAATGGCCTAATTTTGGCAAATTTGTCATTTTTACAAATTGATATTATCAGTAAGATGAATACAGGGATAAATTCAAATTTGTCACAAGAAATTGACTCTGAAACTAAGGAATTATTTAGTGTCTTTTGAATTTTCCCAATACATTCTTCTTCAAGAGAGAATATCAATAAAACATCATATTTCTGATATTTCAACATGAGTATTTTAATTTTTCTGTTGAGAATATCTTTGTTTCTTCAACTGTTTTTATAATATTTCATTATCAAAGAATTTTAAAAATAGTTTTAATGGAGTTTCTTTAGCTACACTACAATCTTCAGCATCGGAAAAGACATGATTATCAATAAGTAAGTTTTCTCTCACCTAATGATAATGCTTTTTCTTTCTTATTTTTTCTTGATTTTGGCATACAGTTTTATTAAACGATATTTCATCTTCAAAATTGCAATCTTCAAGTTATTGACTTCAGTAGTTTATTTCTACATTTCTTTGCATTTGACTTGCTGGTAAATTATTTATATCTGTAAGATTCTCATCTCCAGAGTCTTCATTAGTCATATTGCTGCATGCATTTGTAGGAGGAATAGAGTAATTGATTCAGCATCAATTTCATCTACATCTAACATAGACAATGTATTATGAAGGATTAAATCATTATAAAAGAAAGTAGCGTCATAAATGACTAATATGTAACTTTACTTTACTTTGCTATTAAATTCAATACAAATTATGAAATATTTTGTATTAAAAACTAGAAAACTTAAGTATGTATTTTATAAATTTTGTACAAAATTTATCTTATATTTTGAAGTTAACACTAAAATCAGCCATATCAAAAAAAAAAAAAAAAAAATGCTATTTCAATCAAATAAATTATATTTCAAAAATTTGCAAAAAAAAAAAAAAAACTACAAATTGTGTTTACTTTATCAGTTATAACTGGAAACTAAGTGCCTACACAAAATAATTCATAACAATTCATCATTCTAAGCAGATTTAACCAGGTTTTAAGCATCCTGCATGTATGGGTTAAGACATAAAAATAAATGAAATGTATAATTTAAATATTATCTAAAATTATTTTACATAAACATTATCTAATTAAAATGTTACATCAAAATAACATTTATCTTTCTTTATTTCAACATCTTATGTAATACAGTAAGACCCCACTTAACGCAGGGTATGCGTTCATAGGCAACAAAATGCTAAATGAAATATCTTTCGTCAAGCAAATGTCAGTAGCAGAAGATTGCATCCAAAATGCTCACTTTGCTTTTGCACTCCTTTCAAAATCTGGATCATTTGCTAGAATTTGATCAACAATTTTGGTTATCATTACCAAACTTTTACTAAAGAAATCTGTAGAGAAATTCTTTGGGTTCTTCGTTTTCAAAAAGTTTGGTAATGGAATCACTATTTTCCAGTTGCACATGAATTCCTTGTTCTGCCAGTTCTTGAAAGTCATCGTTGGTAAGGCTCTTACCAGAAACCTGAGGTAATTCCTCAATATCCTGCTCATCTACACCTTCTAGTCCTGCTGTATCAATTAGGCTCTTGTTGAGAATTCTTGGATACCTTCAGTCATAACTTCTTCCACACTTCATTCATGCATTTATCAGTTAATTCTTTCCAAGCAAAGTTGATATTGCCTATGGCATCCATGATGTTATATTTTTTCCAAAATTGCACATAACAAACATAGATTTTTGGAAAGTACAGTGCTACAACAAATTGCCACCTTTTGCTGATTAGTTTGTGTTTGTAAATAATTGTATTATATGCAATTCAATTAAATGCCGCGATAATTTGAATCAGCATGAATTTTGAGCTTTCTTTAGGCTTCGAGTAGACTGTGTTATATTGAATCAGCATTAAGCGGGGTCTTACTGTACTTGTAATAATTAATATATATTATATAAGAAATTCAATCTAAACTCCAGTTTTGAAAATAATACTTTTATTCATCTGGATTTAGGTGTAATAAACTTAGGAATTTTTAAAACTAAAACATACACTATAAGAATAAATGAAATATTATTAGAAAAATAAAGATGTATTTATAATCATATCTCATTACTATAGAACAGTGTTCCACAACTGGTGTGCCGTCACAAGGTGAAAGGTGTGACATGAACTTTTACATATTCTATTAATTTCAAGTTTTATTTATATTAGGTTGTTCGGAAAGTAAGTATGTTTTTTTACCACTAGACGGATTAGTCATATTTTTCCCGCCATTTTCATTCTAAACATATTTTGACAGTTGGCATTTTAAGGCTTATTTGTAAAAAGTTTTGTTTGATTTTGTGCAATTGTTTATTTTTCGTGTCCCATCAAATATGGAAGATTGAAAGCAGCATTTTTGGCATATTTTGCTCTTTTATTACCGAAAAGTTAAAAATTCTGTTCAAGCGAGAAAAAATTGTGAGACATGTATGGAGAAGATGTATTGACAGAACGACAGTGCTAAAACTGGTTTACAAAATTTCATTCTGGCAATTTCAATATTGAAGATGCACCACATTCTGGATGGCCAGTTGAAGCCAATGAAAACGAATTAAAGGTNTGCATGTATGGGTTAAGACATAAAAATAAATGAAATGTATAATTTAAATATTATCTAAAATTATTTTACATAAACATTATCTAATTAAAATGTTACATCAAAATAACATTTATCTTTCTTTATTTCAACATCTTATGTAATACAGTAAGACCCCACTTAACGCAGGGTATGCGTTCATAGGCAACAAAATGCTAAATGAAATATCTTTCGTCAAGCAAATGTCAGTAGCAGAAGATTGCATCCAAAATGCTCACTTTGCTTTTGCACTCCTTTCAAAATCTGGATCATTTGCTAGAATTTGATCAACAATTTTGGTTATCATTACCAAACTTTTACTAAAGAAATCTGTAGAGAAATTCTTTGGGTTCTTCGTTTTCAAAAAGTTTGGTAATGGAATCACTATTTTCCAGTTGCACATGAATTCCTTGTTCTGCCAGTTCTTGAAAGTCATCGTTGGTAAGGCTCTTACCAGAAACCTGAGGTAATTCCTCAATATCCTGCTCATCTACACCTTCTAGTCCTGCTGTATCAATTAGGCTCTTGTTGAGAATTCTTGGATACCTTCAGTCATAACTTCTTCCACACTTCATTCATGCATTTATCAGTTAATTCTTTCCAAGCAAAGTTGATATTGCCTATGGCATCCATGATGTTATATTTTTTCCAAAATTGCACATAACAAACATAGATTTTTGGAAAGTACAGTGCTACAACAAATTGCCACCTTTTGCTGATTAGTTTGTGTTTGTAAATAATTGTATTATATGCAATTCAATTAAATGCCGCGATAATTTGAATC